CCATTGATTTCAACCACATTTCAGTAGATTGTAGTAACGAGGGTTCGGTTGAGTGATTGCGACGGAAACCTGATTGATTTTTTACAATTATGTTGTTGTTATCCAGGAAGGTATTTAGTTGTCTACAGACTAATTTCTCAAATATTTTGGCGATATTCGAAATGACTGATATCGGTCTATAGTTTTCACATAAGGTTTTGTTTTCTGACTTATATATTGGAGTCACTTTGGCAAATTTCCAATCATCTGGAAATATTCCTGTCCTAAGAGATCGGTTAAACACTTCTAGAAGTGATTCAGTTATTGTATCGCCTGCCTGTTTTATTAGCTTAGTTGAGATCTTATCTAGACCTGTAGATTTTGCCATTTGCATATTTTGTATTTCTCTTTTCAGCTCATAGCTTGATATGCTATGAAAGTGAAATACATTTGTGACTTGGTCTATATATGACAAAGGATCAGGACTACAGCCATTGTCAGCAATGTTATTTGCTAATTTGGGACCTATAGAAGTGAAGAATTTATTAAACTCGTCGACTATATCTTTATCTTGTGTTACATTTTTTCCATGGTCTATGCTAAGTTCATTAACAATTGTGGTTTTGGATTTCCTGTTAAGCAGATTATTTAATGTATTCCAACCTTCTTTACTATTTTTACTGTTTTGTAGTTTAGTGTTGTAAAATTGAACCTTAGTTGCTTTGATTCTTTTGTTAAGTTCATTTCTACAACGTTTATAAGCTTCGTGGTAATTAGAAGAGTTAAATTTGACCGCTTTTTGTTTCAAGTAGAATTTATGATGCGCAAGGTTTTTTATTTTGTTTGTCATCCAAGGACAGTGCTCACTTTTGACTTTCCGAATCCGAAGTGGAGCATGCATATTTGCAATATCAAGAAAAATAGTTTTCCATACCTCCTACGCAAGTCACGCATGATTTGGGTCGGCATAATTATAGAGGTTGTAGTGTCTTTGAAATGCCATTTTTAAGTCGTATTGAAATGCAGATGACATGTAGATCTGACAGTCAGATTGGAGAGGATTCAAAGACGCGCAACAAAGTTTATTCTTAATGTGCCATTTACCACCACAGTCAGTTGTGTTTCACGGCTGAAATCTCTTTTCTTGCAACCTATATCTTACTGGCACGAGTTGTATTTGCTTTATTTTGTATTCGCTTTATATTTTTTTAAATAACTCACGAACTTGTCCGTATTAAACCATCTCTTGTTCCACGTTTGCGTCGGTAAATTAAACCAACGATCGACTAGATCTTCTGATGACACCAACACGAAATACGTTGTACCCAAAGGTAAAACGACAACCTATCAAAGATCTTTCTTGCTACGAGTTACTATAGGACATGGAATAATATTATACTGGTTAATTAAATCGATCTAAACACATCATAAATGAATATTATTTTTTGCTTATTAGCACTAACATGCATATGTTGCAAATGCAACACACCACGAAGCCTTAAGCGCCCTAACAGTTGTTGTTTCTAACTTTCTAGAGTTGTACAGTATTTCATGTTATTTAAAGTTCTGGACCCGCTGACTCACCCGCAATAATTGCATGGGAATGATTCTGTTGGGGTAAACCTGCCACTTGTACTTTATATGTCTGTCTGTTTAGTTTAAGTACTTATCATAGCAAAGCTAATAAATTTTAAAAAAAATTAAATTTAGTAAATGATTTTTAAAATTCTAAATAATTAATTTCACTCAATTTGTCTAAGTCGAGCTGCCGGTTTAATAGCGAATTCGAATGCGGCAGATTTTGTAACGTCATGTTTTCTGAAGGTAAATTAAAACTGTAGTGACCTCCCGGGTTGTCAAACAGGGTCACTGTGGACACTGTGAAACAATGATGAACAATAACATTTTCTTATACATAATAGCATAATGATGCAGTCATGAAGATTCGTTTTCAATTGCTTCATAATAGCAATGCCATTGACTTTTTCAATTTTTCTCTAACTTGTCTATACTAGCTGTGAGGGTGGTATAAATTGTAGCTTTACCACCCTGACCCGTGAAATGCATATATTGTTCAAGGTAGAACAAAGAGTGGACGAGTATAGTAAGAAACGCGAACGTGAAGAAGAGTAATGCTTTGGATGCAATTTTTACAGCACACACTTTTGCTATATATATTGTTGTTTTAAAGGCTTTGGTGAAATAGTCTGGAAAGATATTAAATCCTCGAGATAAAAGATGCAATTCACCAAAATAAAAGTGTGTTTTTTAATTGTCCTGAAATGGTAACTTTTTGATCATGTGAAACGTGATCTACTGCATACTGTATTATTATTAATAAGCTTTATTTGCATGACCTAATTACAGGCATTGTTAAGCGTAATCGTAAAAAATATTAAAGTTAACTAGTATAAAAACTACTTTAACTAACGAAAAACAATATATACTGCTATTTACATGAATTATATGTATCAAATAGGAAGGATATATATCAAACACAAATATCAAAATTTGAGAATAGAAAGGATTAGAAAGAGTGTATTATAGAAAAAGGAAGGTAAAGTAATTTATTATATTAAAATAAATGTTATATAAATGACCACTGAGAAAAATCGTATTTAAACACACGTAAAAATACGATTTTTTTACATGTGAAAATATCATTTGTTGTAAAACGCATTGCCACGGACGTTTTATTGTTTTTCACTGAATTTTGGTTATATAATAAACATGCAGAAAAATACATGGGTGCTTGGAAATACCAGATTTATTTCTCGTGTTGAACATGAGACACCATGTTCAACACTCGAAATAAATCTGGTATTTCCAAGCACCCATGTATTATTCTCTATATAATATATAGAAATTTCTGATTTCTGGTTTAGGGGCTGTTGTCTCTGATATAAAAACATTTCGAAACATGCTTGGAAAATAGATCGGTTATCACAGGGTTATTCAATGACATAAGATAATTTAATAATTTTCTCTTTAATTCATCAGTGATATTCATTTGGAAATAGCTATAGTCTTTCAGGATGTTGTGCGAGTAATTATTTCGCAAATTCTCGTATATAGCCTATTACATTCGAATGCAAAGTGAAATTCGTCTTGAACTGTACGTTTGTCGCAGTATTTACAAAATCTCTCTTCTCTATATATAGGCATGTTTTTATAGCGCCCGAACTCAATTAGTCTAGTTTATGGTTACTTACACGAAATTTTGAAAACATTCTTCTATGGTTCGGATCTTTGATGTTATTTAAATATTCTTCTAAGTTATAATCTTTCTTAAATGTGGAATAAAATGAGAGTTTTGAAGAGTTTTCAATTTGATGTTTCCAAAATGATGTATATTCAGGGACGTCGCTATATAGGGGGGTGTGGGGGTGTAACACGCCCCCCCCCCTCCCACGTCCCTGTGTATATTTATCTTTAATAGTTTTTTACGAAATTTGTTATGTTTGTGTCTTGTAGAAAATTTTCAATATCTATTGTTTCTTCGATATTAGGATAGAAGTTTTTGATGATGTTAGCGGCATTAGAGTAAAATTAGTCTTTACCGTTTAAATAACGTCTTTTTGAAAGGTAAAGCATTTGTTTCGCTATACTTGAATCTGGTAGTTGACTAATGTGTTTGATGTAAGAAAATAGTCTTTTCAATATGGGGATTAACAGAGGGAATTTACCTAGTTCACCCCTGCTAGCGATGTTGCTCGCTTTCCTATTTACACCCAAATAAATTTTACAAAATTTTAAGTGTGTTTTTTCTGTTGAAGTCTTGTCCCATTTAATGAAATCGTTGCAGGCATAGACTCCCAAACCTCAGAGTTATAGAGTAAGATTGGGGAGACTATGCCATCAAATATTTTCATGGCAGGCTTTGGAGTTAATTTGTGAAAGTCAAGATGTTTTAGAATTTTAAATACTGCACGCGTGCATAGCCTTTTCACTTAGTTGTTGAGTCGCAACCGCGAATTTAGTGTTTGAAGTGAGTTTTAGGCAAAGATATAGTGTATTCGTTTGTAATATCAATGCGCTTATCTCCCAAGAAGAAGTTAAGTCTTTGTAGTTTAGAATTATGTTTTTGTAGGATCATAGCCTTAGTTTTTTTTTCAAGTTTATATTCATTAACCATTTTTTACTCCATTCATTGAGAGAATCTAGACATTTTTGGAGACCAGATTCCGATCTTGATAATATGACAAGATCATCAGCATATAGAAAACAACTTAATCTCGTTCCGTTTGGTAATAGAAATTGGTCCGAGTTTGCAGCCCTGGCGTATCCATCTATTGTAAGAAAAGAAGGGCGCTTCATGTCCTGATATTTTGACAGCACAATTAGTATTTGAGTACAAATCCTTTATCAGATCATAGAAGCGTTCTCCAATTCCATTTTCTAATAGCTTTAATTAAAGGCCTTCGTACCAGACGGAGTCAAAGGCCTTTTTAAAATCAACAAAACATGTATAAATTTTCTCATTATTTTGAGTAGTGTATTTATCGTGTAAAGTTTTCAAGATTAAAATGTGGTCGGCGGTTCTATTGCCTGGTATAAAACCAATCTGTAAAGGATACGGGTAAGTATGGTGAACGAAGGTGTTAATATGGTGCTAAATACTTTAGTGAAGCCATTTGTGAGAATTTCAACACTACATTTGATCATTTCATTATTAATTCTATTTGATCGCGTATGCAGTTTTTTTTTTTATTTTTATTTTCTTTCCTGCATTAAATACTTTTTTGGTTGTAATTTCTGTATCAAGTTCATCGAGTAGATTTTTGGAGTTTTCACTATGTTTCAAATTTTCAATGATTTCTTCATGTTCTTTATTAGATATTTGGTGTTTGCAATGTAGTTGTTCAAAATGTGTATACCATTCACTATCTTTAGGCGAATTTTTGAAATTTTTATCGCTCTCAAGATCGTCTGTCGAATTTTTAAGTAACTTCCAGAAAAGATTTATGTCGTTTTCACTAGCTTTTTCTAACTCATCAATCTTATTTTGATGGAATTGGTTGCCTTTCACCTGTAGAGTTTCTTTGTATGATTTTAATGCATCATGGTAGTTATTTCTTAACTCAATGTTGGTTGGTTGGTGTCGTTTGATTCGACAATCTTTATCAAACCATTTCTTTTTAGCTACATTTTCTATTTTCTAGTTTACTCTTCTTGATTTTCAAAGACTTTTTTGATGTATCAATGAGGATATTTTGAAATTCAGATACACATTTATTTATTCCATTTAAATCATCATTAAACCTGAGTTTGTAAATTCATAAAGTTTTTGTTGTATTTCAGCAGATTTTAATGTTTGTCTAAAAATGCTTTTTGAGTTTTCACACCATATAAATTGAAGGAGTAATTCAGACATCGGCAACCGACATTGGTTTAATATCGGATAGGTCATTTGTATGTAAGCCAATGTCAATCCATGCATGCATGTAGTTATTTGACTATGGTCAGATAGGTATGTTGGGGGTTTAACAACAAAATATTTAGTATTTTGAAATAATTCTTGATCGTATATGATGTAGTCTAATACAATTATGCCATTAGTTCCATGAAATGTGGGTTTTTCTAGGGAATCACCTTTTGTTCGCCCATTTAAAATTCTCATGACACTATTTTTACAGACATTGCTAAGTTGCAGTTTACCATGGTTATTGATATGATTAACGAAGTTTTGCCTATGTTTTGCTTGTAGACAGTTTTCACTGGTATCATTAATTTTATAAAATTATTTCCATCATTAGAAATAAAATCTTCAAGTTTACAGACTCTTGCATTAAAATCACCAAGGATCATTACATTTCCCTTTGATGCAAATGACACTATGTCATTTTCCAGTTCATCAAATATTTCATTTTCAAAATAAACAGATTTTTCTGGTGGAATGTATACAGCACATAAGAATAGATCTTTTTCAACATTGAACAGATCTTTTAGATTTTACACCATAGAAAATGTTTTGAATTTTTAACTATAGAAACAAATTTTTCATGTTTTATTTTGGTTAGTAAAGTGATACCGCCAGACTTGCGACATACCTGATTGGTATGAGGCATTGCAGTATCAGAGACAAAAGCCCTGAAACCGGGAATATCGATGTTAGTGTTACACCAAGTTTCAGTTAGAAAAATGAAATCTATATTATTAATATGGTCAAGAAAGTCCTTGTTCTTGCTTTTATCACCAAGGACATTACTTGATATGCCATGGATATTCCATGTGCTGAATCCTAAGTTGGTGGACATGCAGGGTAGGATGGATTTGTTTTAGGATTGTGAAAGAGATTGACCTAGTAATTATTGAAATTTATGATTAAGCTGATTATAGATTGGAATGTTCTAGATATTGAATGCTTAGTTGAGTGAATTGGGCTTTAAACAATTGACATCACCTGATTTGAATGCGAAACTATACGCATTGAAATCCAATGCACAAAAGTTTGTTTCTTGCCAGGAACTTTCCCGAAGGATGTATTCCGAGTTAGTCAGGTTAGACAGTAACAAACAACAGTTCATAATGAAATTTAATATGGCTTTTTTTTATAGGTGAAAACGTAACATGCTCCACGAATGATTTTACGTGCAGAAGTGGTCAATGTATTTTAGCAAAGTTTAAATGTGACGCCGAGGCAGACTGCCTGGACTTTTCGGATGAAGAGAATTGTGGTAAGAGGGAGTGGTCATTATTAATGGGCAGGAGAGGGGGTTGTTCAAAATTTGGAAGGTACTCAGTTGAAACACATTTTGAGCCCACTTTAAGATTGAAGGCAAACTATTTGACCCCACTCCCTTTATTACAGTAGAAGCTACTCCGTCCTCCATCTCTCCGCAATCTTATGGGTGGGGGGGGGGGGACCATTGATTAAGTATATTATACGGCGCCCTTTGGAATCACAGTTTTTCTTATTATAATATGTCTGTGATCATTCATAAAGTCAAATGTATCTTTCTGGGCTACATTGAAGTACATTCACTGATTTAAAAACTTTTCACGCTCCATGCATTTCTGTGTATAATACTGATAGTGACTAATCAGTCAAAACTCAGTGTCCATGAGGACCTATTTCAAAATATAGCACTAATTTAAAGCCTTTATTATAACTACTATCGCGTGTAGTACTGAGGTATGTTGGGGAGGTCCGGATTTGACTGGGTCTTAGGAATGGAAAAATCCTGCATTCTCATGGAGATTTAGTAACAGGTATATCTATGCATAGAGTATCTCACGTTATTTAGGACCTCTTTAGCTCGAGGCCAGGGCCAAATTGCCTGAAAGTTTTTATACTGTAATTTCTGAATTCAGAAATAATACTTAAAAATTCATTACTAAAAATTAATTGGGTGAATAATCAGTTTTATTTCAGTATCGATCTTTCGGCACAAAACCTTAAGGCATGTATAATGAACAGTCCCATGGGAATAGTTTGCGAAGTTTACAGGATTGTTTTATCCTTATACCTTATTCATTCTCCTATACTTTGCTAGAAAGTTACCCCTCATGTACTGCAGATCAGTTTCAATGCAACACTTCAAAGAGATGCGTGTCTGGCACGTGGAGATGCGACGGTGATATTGATTGCGGAGACTATAGTGATGAACTTAACTGTTGTAAGTGTTTCTCATAGTTCTGTATAGCGTTACAATGACGTCGTGTAGCGAAAAAGTCAGATACTCAATCAACAAAATCTTATATAATTTAGTATAGATTATCATATGAGAGGCGAGGCTTTATCAGTTTTATCGCTTGAGGGGCGATAATATCATTTATTATATATTCAAAGTCTATTCTCGTTCGCGAATGGTCAAAACGCGTCGGATAATTCTCGGTATCTTGTAATCGTGGCGTTATTTCAGCTGCTGACGCCATCAGCGTGCAATAATACTTTTGTGGGACCGACGTTCGGTTTTCGTATGATATCGAGAGTTATCAAGGCCTCAGTTTGTGTTATTCACCTCAGCTGGCCTTCGGCTTCGATGGATAACACAAACCTCGGCCTTGTTAATCCTTGATATCATACTCAACCGCATTCAATAATTGTTTAATGTCACGAAGGAACGCGGCGAAATAGTTCAAATCCAAAATTTGAGTATCATAGCTGCAATACCGTAAACCTCCGACTATAAGCTCCCCGAATATAAGCCCCCCCCCCCGAATATAAGCCCAGCGCATATACTAACGCTCACCTCATTCCAAATATAAGCCCACCCGAATATAAGCCCACCCCGGCCACCCGAATATATATAAGCCCCCCGAATATAAGCCCAGTTGCCCACTACGTATTGAAATATTGAAATATTGTCTTTTAATATAGCAGAGAACGATATTTAAAAACATTGTCATTGCCGTTATAGCTTACTATGTTAATCAACCCGCGTTATTAATACATGTTTATTTTCCTGTTTTATATGACTGACTTGTTTATGCCTGACTTGTTTATTACTAACACAAAAGATCGTCCATGTATTAGCCCCCACCGTATATAAGCCCCCCCCCCCGTTGTATAAGCCCATCAAGAATCGCTTACGAAAGTATATAAGCCCAGGGCTTATAGTCGGAGGTTTACGGTAGTCTTTGAGACTGTTTATGGGAAGTGCATGTGCCAAATTCACCCGGCCACTACCTGATTTACATTTTGACTTACAACTTCATATCCGTTCATGGTATGCCCATGCATCAATAATATGTGCAACCAGTAATTTGTTATGGCATATTAAAAAGTCTAATTATGTGTTTCCGCAGACACGAAATATACATCATTTTTTTGGAAACATTTTTATGGAAGCCATACAGACCCAACACTGATTTTTATTTCACATCGTATCCACATGCTATTCTAATTTCAAGCAAAATTTGCTGATGGTTAGTTGCCTGCTTTTAAAATTGGAGCCCTTTAAATTTGTCGCAGTTCTAAAGCACGTTAATAGTACCTTTTGGGTGTCTCTTACGAATAAAGTAGCTATATTCATTGAGAAATGAGACCGCCAAATACCTTAATGTTCAAATCTTCCTTCTTGATTAATAGTATACATATTCAAAAATGTTTAAACGATTTTAAAAATCACTTATTTATTAATGGTATATATACAAAAAGGATTTATAATATAAATTTAAATCACAGATTTTCACGTCTTTTATACAACGCCTGCATATGAAGCCATAACAAGTGCAACTTAAAATTCAGTTCAGTAGAACTCTTCCCAAACATAATGGCAATGTTTTCACATTCTTATACTGTATTAAATTCATACGAATTATAATATACGACAAGTTTTCTTTACTATCATTTATTTGAAGGAATCTCTTTTGGCCGTCGTCGCCGCGTTGCCGTCCTACATTCTTAAGCTCGCTAATGTCAACACGGAAACGTCGGAAAATCTCGTTTTCCCAATTTCCACTCGTGTTGATATAACTGTATATCAACACGGAAAATGTTTTATATTTGTTAAATATCGATGGATCAAAACGATGCACTATACAATTTGATTTTTTATCTACTCCTGCCAGCAAAGCAAACGTACTTGTAGTCAGCTCTTCTACTGTATGCTTCTATGACGGTGAAAAATGGGTTGACGGAAGAAGTTCAGTTGACAATTATCAAAGTGATAGAAAAATAATGTTTATGCACCCAACCTGCATCGCAACTCGCAAGGTCATATTTCTGGCCAGTGAAAGATGATACTTGTTGGGTTCCGGATCAGAACATTATTTGTAACATGGGTATTCCAACAACAGTCACTGGGAGGCGGAACCTTGTATGTGGAGAAATTGTAATATTTTCAGCTAGTCTCCTCTAACCAATAGCCAGCACGTCACTGATATATATATATATATATATATATATATATATATATATATATATATATATATATATATATATATATATATATATATATATATATATATATATATATATATATATATATATATATATATATATATATTAATATATATATATATATATATATATATATATATATATATATATATATATATATATATATATATATATATATATAT